TGTGTACTTTTTCCACCATTTAAATGTATTATAATTAAATAACGTATTTTCAACCGTACAATTACCAATTTTTGTTATTATAAAAGAATTATGCATGTATAGTAAATTATATTAAAAAGATTATTGTTAATCTGATTTTGTTTTAGCTCATATTTGATGACTTTAGCCACGTGCAAGTTGTAAAATAAAAAAATTATTATTCCTCTAAACATTACAGATTTTTAAACAAAATTTCTCTAACCTTTCTCCGAAAAATAAGATTTTCGTACAGATTTTAAAATAACATTTTACTACCGACACCATTTTAGTAAAGGCAACTTCTACAAAACAAACAATATTTACATTTACTTTTATATTTTTTATGGAGCTCGTAGATATCATTTTAAATTTTTTTCCTAACATTTTTTAAATTAATTTTGTAAAAGTCATACTTATAAATGCGAAATCTAACAAAAAAGTTAAATACAATTTTTCCAGGTCAAATTTAACAAATGCGAGCTATTTGCAAAATTTTAAATATTTGCAACATTTTTTAAAACAAAAATTAGAAGCTTTCTGCAAATAATTCCCTACCTCTCAAAAAATACAAAATAAAAAAGATAAGAGCTCGCATTTGCTTTCTGGAAATAATTCCCTAGCTCTTAAAAAATGAAAAAAAAATAGAGAAGAGCTCGCATTTGTGGAATGCGAGCTCAATAAGCAGAGCTCGCATTCCGCGAATGCGAGCTCTTGTAAGCTCGCATTTGTGAAATGCGAGCTAGTGAGCTCGCATTTCACGAATGCGAAGACCCCCCGGACGGAAATTAATCCCAGAATCACCCCTTTTGTAGAATTTTTTTTAAATTCATCACAAAGTTGGAAATTTCTCCCACTTCTTGTAAATGACCAGACTTTAGAGCCCATATTGAGTGGCTACACAAGGAAATGCAAGAAGCACTTCAAATGGTATTGGGCGTTTCTCGCTTGGTCTTTGCACTAGGCCCGACTACACAAGGAAATGTCACGCAAGCTACAAAGTTCTAAAGGTGGAGAGCATGTCTAAGTGGATAGTTGGGATAGTAATGAATTTTGCAAGGAAAATTCTCAATGTGGGGAGGGGGAAATGTCCTATATTTGTTTTGCAAAGATGCAAAGTTTTAAACGTGAGGAAAGTGAAATGTTCCGCATCAAAAGAAAATAGGGAAAAGAAATAGTATATAATTTGAGACCCATGAATTACTGAATAAGTTTAAGTTAATTATTTTGAATTCGTGATTGCCAGTTCAAAAAATTATTTGGGCCAATCCGTAGGTCGTAGGTCGTGGACTTTATAGATTGTGTGAGTTGGGTATCTTGTGTTTTGATATAATTTATAGGAGTTTCCAGTCAGCTGGACAAGATTAACTGGGTAATGTGCGTGTGTGGTGGTGGTGGTGGTTGGCGGGGGGAGCAAAAGCGAGGGTCAAATTGACAAAACTCTAATGTTTACCGCATGCACAAGTTTATGTTACTCGTGGGGCATGAAAATCACATCTTGATCGAAGTGTGAGCCAGGTTGAAAACCAAGGTATGTTCAATGATCTGTTTTTAAGTAGTAAAAAATACCTGCATTGCACGTGTTAATGCACTAACAAATTAGAAATATGTGAGACAAATATGAGACAACAAGTTCAGCCGACACATGTTTAACCAACACACGTTTAAACTTCAAAACCAAGTAAATAACAATTTTGTGTTAGAAAAATATGAGAACAATGGGTTCTAAAAATTAGTATGCAAAAGGGTTCTAAAAATGAACGCTCTAGGATATACACAGCCCCTATTTGACAACATATTACACCGACATGGGCAAACCTTTGAGCACTCAATATTTGTACGATTGTCAGAATATTCTTCAGAGTGCTTATTGTAGAGGAGAAAGAATAGTGAACTTTTTGTTGTTGTAACCATTTGATAGTTAGCTATATAGGGTACTATGTCTGAACAATAAAGAGAACAAATCCCTCGTTCACTTCAACAAACAAATGAAGAGTTACAACAGTCATGCACATTCACAAACGAATAATTACACATAATTGACATAAAACAAAAGTTCCACTATTTTGAAGTTCTCTTACATTTTCCAATTAAAGACTTGAAGGCTAAACCAGGCACAAAGCTAACCAAAGTAGAAAACGAGGTAGGCTATATATCTATAGGATCGAAATGCAGAAGTTGAGAGTTGAAGAGTGATGGATTGGAATTCTGGCGATCTTAGTTAGGAAGGAGATATTAAAAGCCAGCCTGGGGTAAGAGAAGTAACTGAGTGCAAAGATTTGGGAGACCAGCCTCTTTCAGAAAGAAAGAATGAAGCAGAAAAGGAAAGGATATCATAGTGCACAAGCAAATGGAGTTAGGCTCATTTCCTACCCTAGTTTGAAGTAGAGCAGAACCATCCTAGTTCAGAGCTGTACCCATCCCAAAGAAATTCATTCTCAAAATGTTTTAACACGTACTAGAGTTTGGATATATATTGGTATTAGTGAATTTCAATTTGTCGATATCCAAAATCCAATTTAGATTGGTTCGACAAGTTTTTCAGTATTCCTTTTGTAAAATATTACAGATAATCCTAACTAGTTTTTTGGCTCCTGCATCAATTACCAGATCTTTTTATTTTTTTTCTTTTGAGTAGTTGTAAAGCTGTGTAAGACTCAACACGACTCTTTCCAAAAAGAATTTCTCGTCTGTCTATCGCTCGGTCAATGCTCAATCTTGATGCCATTCCCTCGTCTTCAGAGATGGGACAAACTCTATCCATAAACTAGTAGTTCAAACGTGCCTTCCAACATCTTGGTATTGAATCTCCTTTTTCTCCAAAAAAAAAATATATATATATGTATCACAATATTCTTACGAATTCATTATAAAAAATTGTTATATTCTAAATGTTTAACTACCAAATTATTTTTCTTAAACAAATATACTTGAATTTGTTATAATGTTAGTAATATAGATTGAATACTTTAATGCATAGAAAGAATTTAACAAGTAGTCTTTGAGATAGTTATAAAATGCTTATAACAATTATATACCTAGAACTACATATTAATTTTGTTTTGTGTAAATTACTGATAACCCTCATGTGGTTTCATCTATTATCACATGATCTCCCAAGCGTTTCAAAATATCTACTTCACTCCCTTATAACTTCATGCACATTGAAAATTTAACGAAAAATAGTCTTTGTAATGTTGTTAGTTAAAATGTCAGTAATGCTCTTGCTTAAATGCTAAATCAAATGACGACTTAACCACCTTGTACAAAACCATGAGAAGATTATGTGGATAAATACAAAAATCACGGAGGTGGTAAAGTAGATATTTATACAATACTAGAAGAAAAAAGGTCATTAGTGACAACATTTTCTAGTGATGACAAAAAGTCGTCACAAAATGAGGTTGTTTAGTCACGACATTGAAGGTTGTCACAATTGACTCAAAGCAACTAAGTTTTCATTGACGACCCTTAATTGTCATCACAAAACTACTTCGCGCCATGGGACTTGGAAGGCACGAGTTTTACGATAGTGACAACTTGATAAAAATTGTCAGTAATTCTACCTCTTTCTTTGACAACTTTTCATTGTTGCCACTATTTATATTTATTGACGACCAATTTTTGCCAGTAAAACTATAGCGTAGTTAGTGACAACATAGTGTCATCACTAACTTGAACATCTCCAATGCATTTATTTAATTGTGAGCCTCAATATTAATTTAATTTTTTTTAAAATTTGGAGATTTATTAAACTACTCATAGTTACTCAAATAATAATAGGTTTTTAACTGGAAAAAATTAATAAAAGTTTCTAGTTAGAACAACTATATAAACTATTACAACTTGAAAAAGAGTACATTTACCAGTTCTTTGAATTTAACAAAAATTTTTCATCCATTATAATTTTTTAATAAATATGTTAAGAAGTAGTGATTAGAAATACATTAGTAAATATAAATAAAAATTGAAGCTAAAAATTAAGTTGGATTGTCTTGATTGACTAGTACCAGAAATGTGTACAAACTAAAAATGAAAAAAAGTGGCGCAAGTACTATACAAGGAACCACACTAGGGTTTGTTTGGATTGAAGATTATTTGAAATATTTATTTGAGATAATTACTGTAGCACTTTTTGTGATGTGATGTATGTGAGATAAAAAAGTGATTGGAAATTGTGTGTATGATGATGCAAGCAAAACAAAATTTGAAATTTTTTTTTTAAAACCTCTTAATCCAAACAGACCCTCCCCAGATCCAGATGTCTTTAGTACTCTTCATACTCTAAATCCCTCAGTGAACTCCTTTATTCTCAACCCCATTTATTCATTTTCCAAAACCGTAGCAGCAACGAAGGGAGCAGCTGCCGTCGTCAAAGATGCAGATATTCATGAAAACCCTAACCAGGAAGACCATCACCCTTGAGGTGGAGTCTTCTGACACCATCGATAATGTCAAGGCCAAAATCCAAGCCAAGGAGGGCATCCCCCAGACTAGCAATGCTGCATCTTTGTCTACAAGTAGCTGGAGGACGGCTGCACTATAGCCGATTACAACATCCAGAAGGAGTCCACCCTCCACCTCATCTTCTGCCTTTGTGGTGGCGTCAAGAAGTGCAAGAAGAAGACCTATACCAAGCCCAAGAAGATCAAGCACAAGAAGAAGAAGGTCAAGCTTGCCGTCCTCCAGTTCTACAAGGTCAATGCTCAGGTAGGTCCTCTCATGTCTCTACTTGTTTCCCTAATTTTTCCCCAATTAATTTGCCTAAATTTTTTCCCCAAATATTTTTTTGCAAAATTTTTTTTGTGGCTAATTTGAGTCATGGATTTAATCATCTCCTTCTGCAAAAATTTGCAAAATTTGCCCTAATTGTTTTTGCAAAATTTTTTTGGTCAAGGAATTCAAGGTGGGGGATGAAGTATTCGGAGACATTCACGAGCATGTTTGTACCCAAAGGGATGTGGGTCACTGGCGGAGTACCTACAATGGAAGAGAAGGTACTAGCTTCGAAGCCCAAGAATTTGAGTTTTGCAGAGGCAGCTAACCTTCCTGTTGCCGTTGAAATAGCGTATGGCGGACTTGAAAGCGCTGGGCTTTCAGCTGGTAAATCACTTCTTGTTCTGGGTGGTGCTGGTGGAGTTGGATCTTTTATCATTCAGGTAAAAATTTTGGCCTTTCTTTTTTCTTCGTTCAACTTTATCATTTTACTTAAATAATTTTGGATTTCTTCATTGTCTAGGTCTATACAGCTGCTACTATCTTTCTTGTATCTTTTTTGGAGAGGAAGGGAAATTTCCTGAGTTGAACTTCAATTTCATTATTTTTGGGTTATTTTCCTGCGTTGCTTATGTTTTGGAAATGATTAGCATTGGCCTAACTTTCGATAATAAAAAAACCCCTTCTTTTTTTTTTTACCAGTCATTGATATCTATTTTTATTGTCTCTCTGCTATAAGTTTTTAGTATTCCATTTTGATGGATGAACTTTTTTTTAAACTATAAAAGGATTGGAAATGATTCAGATAGGTTGTCTCCAATTGAGTCAATAAGTGCATTGGTTGGGAATGAGCCAAAAAATGAAGGGTTATTGTCTGCTACATCCTCCTCACATAGCAAGCTGCTGAGGGTTTGAACTGCTACTGCTAAGCTTTTTTGCTTGCAAAACCTTTTCTTTAAGCTAATAGTATTGATTGCAGTTGTACTATATGTTTCAGATTGAAATGCAAAAATACATAAGGAGCTATCTAAATGAGTAAAAGCCTTTTTAGTGATAGCATCTGGATGCATCTCTCTCTGAAACTGATCAATTCGTATATCAATAGATAGCCTTTTGTTTTGCCACCATTCATGTGTTGTTGCACATTTTGCCACCATTAATCTGTTGTTCTGTTTTGGACATAATTTACTCTCTTCATTTATTTTCAGAACTAGTGAATTTGGGCTGCTTTTCATTTTGAGTTTGAATGAGAATCTTTGTTTTCATATTTGTCTAAGTTACTTTAAGTATCCAAAAAAGAGTGAGAATTACATACTTGTTATCATGTCTCTTCAGTATAATCCAAAGTTCTATGTTTTGTCAAGTATGTTAGCCAATAGAATTTCTTTTCAGATTCAATATTAAATGTATGTCTCAAAGAAAAGTTACTTAGATATTCCTATCTAGGGATGTACGCGAGCCGAGCTACTCGCGAGTAGCTCGCAAGTAGCTCGGTCAACGGCTTGGCTCGAACTCGGGTTGACCGAGTTCGAGCCGAGTTTCAAGTAGCTCGATTGGCTTTCGAGTCGAGTTTCGAGTCTCAAATTTTTGGCTCGCGGCTTGTCGAGTAGCTCGTCAAGCCAGGCTATTTAAATAATATATTTATAATTTAAATAATATATATGTATTATAATTATAAAATGACTATTATGGGTATAGGTTATACGGAATTTACAATATACTCTTCTTTATAATAAAATTTTATAAGGGTAAAAAAGTAATAACATAATTATAAAAATACCTAAAAGAAAAAATATCTAAAAAATGCCTCATTTTTTTGGTCTAGTCGAGTCAAAAAACTTGATTAGACTCAGCTTGATAAGGCTTGACTAAGGGTCGAGCCTTATCGAGTCGAGTTTCAAGCTTAAAGCGAGTACATCGAGTCAAGTTTCGAGTATCAAATTTTTTGACTTGATCGAGCTCGAGCCTAGGGATATATGAGTCGAGTCGAGTTCAAGTATAGCACTACTCGAGCTTGACTCGACTCGATTACATCCCTATTCCTATCAATTGGCTTTCTTCTTGATTAGAGGTGTCAAAATGGGTGACTTGGGCGTGTTTGGGTTGGGTAAAATGGGTAATGGGTATAAGTGATTAAACCCATTTATACCCATTTAATTAGATGGGTATAAATGGGTAAGTCAAAAAATGAATTGGGTAACCCAATTACTCATTTATAACCCATTTATTTTAATTTTTTGTAAACTCATTTAAATTCATTTTTGCAAACTAAATTATCAATTTATACCACTCTTTGCATCCATCATTAGTTTTAAATATTTACTTATAATGTTCAATAAGCTTAATTATCAATTTTTTTCCTATCTGTACTCTATGTCTCAAAATTACATACTATTTAATAATTGAATAATAAGAATATAAAAATTTAAATTAAGTACTATAAAAATTAACATAAAAACTTAATCCAAAAATTTTGAACCCCTAAAATTTTTTTTCATGTGTAAATTTAAATTTTCATTTTGGAAATGTAGGAAAAGAGACTAAAGCTTATCATAAATTGGTAATGCTAAAAAATGAGTAAGTTAACAAATTAAGAGAAAATAAAATGATAAAATAAAACCAACAAATAACAATAATAATGACACAAAAGTAGTTAACATCATAACAAAATGAAAAATCTGAAAAAAAAATGGGTGGGGGAAGAGAGGAGATTTGGGAGAAAATAATTTTAAATGGGTTAATTGAGTTTGATGGGTTACCCAAATGGGTATTATTGGATAACCCATTTATACCCATATGCAAAAACTTAAGATATCCATACACATCTATTCATGGGCAGATATGGGTAAATTTAATTAAATGGGTTGATTTGCCCCCTATATTCTTGATTAATGTACATGTTAGATTGAGCAGGTTTCTGATCTAACGCAATGCTTTGAAAACTAGCCTTCAAATCAGTGAACCTAAAATAACCAGTATTTTTAACTTTAAACTTTCATTTGCTTTGGTGCAAGTTTATCAAGTCTGTCTTTTTTCTATTAATAATGGTTCGTTTGCGATTTGTTGTTCTGGAATTAGCAAGCTTCAAATATTTTGCAAGAGTTGATCAACATTCATAATGATGCAAAAGTCATATAAGCAATCCAAGATCAGGTCGGAGATGATAAGGCTATCATTATTGGGCAAACAGTAATAAAACCATTTGTTTATTTTTTCCCTTAATTTCCAATACTTCAAAACACCCTGGTAAAAATCAGATGTATTGGTTAGTTCCAAAGAATTAGTGATAATTATTGAGGATCAATAAACAACAAGTGGTGGCAATACTGTGCTAAGCCATCCTTGGCAGAGATAAAGAAATGTTTGTAACTTTGTATCAATCAAAATTTCATATTTGGCTAAACCTGAGTAGCAGTTTTAGGTTTGGCTTTTGAATTACTAGAAAAATTGAAAAGCAGTTCTGAAGGTTAACCTTTGATTAGAATCATATTGTTTTTGGTTACTATCTTGCTGCTAGGACTGAAGCTTCCATCAATTTTGATGCTTGAGAGGGTGCTATGGTCAGCAATGTTGGGTTTGTTCTCTTTGATATTTACTTGAAAAAAGTTTGCAAAACTTTAGGGAAGTTACTGAATTTATACGGTTGGATTAGTACAATCTCATTCTTATATCTATACCTAGTTGTTTGTCGGAAGTTCTAAGTGCTTTATCTCTTACTTTGCTCTTATTTAGTCACTGTCTAGATGATACTTAAAAGAAATGATTTAGCTTATTTTCTTGCAAATTCTTAAGTTCTCTTTCTTGTCTCAAGTTTTTCTTATCACCTACTAATAATTGAAGTACTTCAATGCAGATAAGTTGCTCATCATAGATTTTTGGAAGATCAGCAGCAAGAGTTGTTAATTGACTCAAGAACTATAGAGAAAATCTTATGCTCAAGAAATGTTTTGACAACACTTTTTTTTGGGGACTTGGATTTGTTTTGTAAAACTGCCTTGACTTATATGTGAAATTTAGGCCAAATACCACTTATCAAACTATTTGTAGGGTGTTGTTGAACTTGATTATGATATTCGAATGCTTAAAATGATACTTTGGCATTTCGTAATGTAATGGATGCCTTCATTTGTTAATTGTAAAGCATTGTCATTTTTTTTTTCATTTTTAAGATATAATTTAGCAGGAAAATCATCAAATTTCATGGTGGTAAAGTGTTGTCACTGAATCAAATTTCTCCATTGACAACCACCTATTGTTATGGAATTGAAAATTGTTTAGTGACAACAAAAGTTGTCAGTAATTAGTTTATACCAGTTGACACTATGGATTAGTTTTAGTGACTACATTGCTTTGTACATCATTGACAAACTACTATGCCATCACTCAAAATTACAACAATTACTGACAACACCAGTTGTCGCAAAACAGTACCATTCATTGACGACTTTTAAGGTTGTCACTGTATACTTTTACCGACGGACCTTCAGTGACGACTTTGTGACGATTAAAAAGTTGTCAATAAAACTTATCAGTGACAATTTTTTATTTTTTTGTGATGAAAATGGCTTGTCACTAGAAACCATTTTTCTTGTTAAATATTATGATTTCCTCACACGTATTTTTAGTATAAAACTATAGCAGGTTATGTGGCTATTTTAAAATCTTGGGGGAATCATCTGGCATTATGTAAAATCATAAGCGATTATATATAATTTACCCTTTTATTTTTTATTAAATATAAAAGATGCAGCAAACCATTTTCTCATGAATGATTATCTAATTTCAAGCAAAGTCAATGAACTTACCTATGTAATAATAAAAACCACACTAAGCAAGGTATGGATAAAAAGAAAATTTCACAATTTGTTAAAAAAAAGAAAAAATTGCTAGAAAGAAAGATAGAAACCTTATGAAAAACACAATTAGATTTTCACTTCAATTAGATAAAGAGTTAATAGTGAAAAGTATAAATTGAATAATAAGATAATTAATAACAAAGGAAAATCGTTTAAAATGTTCCTCACATTTTGCTAAATAAATATTTTCGTCCTTTATTTTTTAAATGTTAACTTTATATCACTTTTCATGAGTGAGGGATATGAATACAAAATTGACCTCAATCCATAGTCAAATTTTACATTTAAATTTCTAAATACCTTACACATGATTTTTTTGTAAGTATACAAGTCATGTTTGAATATAGAGTATTAGGGGTCGGTTACTGACGCTATTCGAGCTCTTTCGTTATTTAGAAGCTCATTAATTCAATAAAGTAAATCTAAACTTACAAACATATAAGAAAATGAAGTGAAAACTACTCTTACTAAGGAATCTCCCGGGTTAATTGTTTGTCACTACCTCAGCTCACTATAGCATAATTTCCTAATATATGTGACCCGCAAGTAGATTTGGTACTTAACATACAATTACTAGAAGGAGCCCA